GATGAGGGAGGCTCTAGTGGAGGTTCATGTAGGATCATGAGGCGGCTCATGAGGTGGCTGGTCACTGTTCTTGTCAGCATGCTGGTTCGTTTTTTGTCAACTTGACACAAACCTAGACATCTCTGGGAAGAGGGACTCTTAACTGAGTACTCCCTCATCATGTCCCATAAGCAAGTCTGTGGGGGCATTTTCTTGATTAATTATTGATGTGGGAGGGCCCAGCCCACTGTTGGTGATGGCACCCCTAGGCAGGTGGTCCTGGGTTGTATAAGAAAGCAGGCTGAGTGAACCATGAGGAGCAAGCTGCACTCCTCCATCGTTCCTGCCTGTGGTGCTGCTTGAGTTCATATCCTGACTTTACTTAGTGATGGACCGATGGGGAAGTGTAAGCCAAATAAACCCTTTCCTCCCTAGATTGGTTTTGGTCATGATCTTTATCATGGCAAAATAAAGCAAATCAGGACAGATACTGGTACTGAGAGTGGCCTACTGCTGTGATAGACCTGACTGTGTCATTTGGGGGAGGATTGTAGATGCGTTTGGAACCTCAGGCTGGAAAAGCCGCCAGGTGCTCAGAGCTCAATGACTGTTTCTGTGAGAGCCAGACAATTGGAGTGTCAGGAAAACACAGTCACTGGAGGCCTGACTTGTGAATTTTCAGAGGGAAGCAAAGACTCTATCAGGGTTGACTGAGCTGTTTTGAAGTGAGTCTGTAGTTTCTGGTCAGCTGAGGCTGAAGAATCTACTTAGTGAGACATGAGTGCCATCGAGGTGAAGTCTTATGGGAGGTGTTCCTCAGAATCAGAAACCATGGTCTGGCAGGGAGGCGACAGCCTGTACATCAGGCTGGCAGCAAAACTGGGCAAACTAGAAGTCAGGCGCAGGAAAAGAGGGATGCTGGCGCTCCACGCTCCTCATCTGTCTTATTCAGCTGTGGGGATGGTGCTGCCCACATTCAGGGACTCCCCTCAGTTAAGCCTCCCGGGAAATGTCCTAAGGCATAATGAAAGGTGTGTGTCCTGAGTCCAGCAAGCTGACAGTGAAGCTCCACTGCCACACTGTCCTTCCTTTGGCCTCAGCTGCCGGGAGCCTCCTGAATGTTGTCACTGGTTCTGTCCTCTTCTTCCTGGCTCCTCCTGCCCTTCTGAATTCTGTTTCTACCAGCCCACCTGTTCTACACCCCTCAGGAGTAGAAATGTCCTTCCTTAGTTGGTTCACCGTTTGATCCTTTGATAGCCAGGCTTCTTGCTGCAGGAGGTTAATCCACTACTTTCCTGACTCAGGTCTCATGGACAAGAATTCTTCATCCCAGACAGGTGCTAAAAGTCCCGGTGTATAACGTGATTGAAGTCGAGCTGTAGTCCGTGAGGTTAAGATACCTTTATTCAGATAAATACCAGCCAAATGCAAGCCAGAGTGTGCCCAGAGGCAGCAGGCTAGGGAGGCCAGAGAGAGGGGCTCCCATGTGTCTGCTGCCCCCTTAAGAACTCCCTACGTGCCATCCTGAACCTCCCTTGACCATGCCCTGGCAGGCGTAGTCAAGCACACCTGTACCTAGCTCCTAGGAGGCAGGGCTACAGTGTCTCCCTACACAGGTGAATGAAAAGGACTCTGATTGAGAGTGGACTTGCTGAGGATGCACAAGAAAACCAAGGCTCTGCATCTGTCAGTCTTATTG